CAGTAAAACTAATTAGTCAGATGGTTAGACTGCTCTTTGTTGGCTACATTAAAGTGAAATTTAGAAAGACATTAGTCAGAAATGCTTTGCTTCAGATACGAGAGCATTGGGTAGAGTTTCGACTCAGTAGCACCAATGAGCCATTTCAGTTCTATGATATCCCAAGGAACACAAAACAAAGTTTATTTTGTAATATTTATAACCCATCCAATCTCAATAGATCCTGAGTTGTACTTCATATTTTAACAGAAAGTTAATCTTCAGCCAGTCTGGATGGCATTAAAAAAGTAATTCTTGTCTCCAAAGGAATGGATAGTGATGTCTGTAATAATCCCCTGATTTCAACCATGGGTAGTTCAGCTAACTGCAGTCAACATATATATGATTAGGCTTTATATCAGTGATAATGAACCAAGGTGCTTTACAACAAACATCAATGAATACAATACATCAACAATGAATGAATAGCCACTGATTTCCTGCCTTTGTCCTAAACTGAATTCACCAAATCATATTGTTATCATGAAGTAGCTCAGGAAATGGAAAAACCTGAGTATAGTAAGATTTTGATCCATATTGTCCTGTGATGAGAAGGATAAAACATCTCAGGAACTGGAGCGCGTAGGTACCTTAGCTTCCTCCTTTTTGCTTTGTACCCATCCCTAAGACTTTGTTAGAAATTCTGAATGCAAACTGTGCAGTGCTAGAAAACAGATTCACAAAGCCATTAAACAAGCAATAGAACCAAATATAATACAGCATTTTAAGAGTTCCCTGATCTCAGTTCAAAGAACAAACTCAGACATAGTAAATATTTGCAGCAGGGAGGAAATTCTTTTACAATTTTCAAAATCAAATGAATGAATTTCCCCACACCTACTGTTAAATTGAGGAGTTGGTAGGCAAACTTATACTGCTATTAGTATAAAGCTCTCATAGTAAATATTGTCTTATCTGTCCATTGTTTTGGTTTTCCATCCAACACAATGTGACATTTTTTTTTCATATAAAGACAAATGCAAAAAATATGTTCATACATTCAAGTACGAGTAATTAATAGCAAACTTTCAATAAATTATTTTACTCCTTTAATGACTTGTTATTAGCATTAAATTACATCACAAAAGAATGCCATATACATTAAATTAACTTCATTTTGTGGGTCAATTTCTTTTGTAAAACTACTTTTATTCATGAATGTTTTTAAAATATAAACATAAAATTTAAAAAAAGTCAATGCTGTTATTTTTGCACATTTTCCCACTTCCTCTTTAAAACATGTAAGATAATTTTTGAGCATCAAAGCTCTGCCAAATATCTATCATGCTCTTTGCCTATTCTTGGCAGAGATGTGAAAGATTTAAAACCATTATATCACAATAAAGAGGAAATGATCCTACTTCCTTTGTAGACTTGTGTAACACATATTTCTATTGTTGGAACTTTACTAAAAATGAGTTCACCAATGATAATGTAACATAATCACTCTTGCAAACAATATGAGGAATGTTCGCATACTGCGCCTAGCCTAACGTTATCTAAAGGTGAATGATTTATCAAGAGATCCATCACCCGATAACAAAGAAAACTAAGGTAGCTCCATTTAGAAGGGGACCATTCACCTCCTTTCTCACACCTTGTGACTTCATTTCCTTATCTGGAAGCCAAAAGAGTCAGGACTACATTAAAAGAAAATGCAGTTCAGACAATTCAGGATTTTAATCAGAAAAGTAATTTTGCTATTAATATTGAGTATAAAAAATATTTCAGATACTTTGCCTCAATTGTATTCTGTTGTACTGTTTTTCTGGTTACCTGCTAATGCTTCAACTTTTAACATTTTAAACAAAAATGCTTTTTGTTTTATTTAATAAAAAGTTTCAAAAGTTTTATGAAATCTAATCTACCTTTCTAAGAATTAACAACTAAAAAGATGCCCATTTGGCATCCTATTCAGCAAACTAAATTATAGAAATATTTGCTCAAAATCTGAATTGAGCAATTATGATTAGCCTGTAGAATAGGTGGTAAATGAAAAATAGAATTATTGTATTTCTAACTTTTTATTAGTGTCATTAGGAATGATTAGCAAAAATGTTTCTATAGTGAGTAGTACAGCAGCATTTGAATCATGCCTGAATTTTTTGTTGATTGAAGCAACTATTTATATATCATTCTAAGTATTTATGGAGAAGTTTTCATATATTGTATATTGTATAGTATGACAGCTTGGGCTGTTTGATTTCAGCTATTCAAATTTTGTAGTACTCGTCTAAATTCTTCACTTAAGGGGAAGAGCATAAAGTGAAGAATATTCTATGTATTTTCTACTAATTTTCATTAAAAGTAAGACAAGTCTCCATTATATGCGGAGTACCACTCTCTGGCCAGCCAATCTCAACAATAATGGGGCTGGAGAAGATACAAATGAGCAATTCAATACTGTAATCAATAAAAATTGTGGGCTTTGATCTATAAAAGCAACTGAGCTAGAATACCTGGACAGTATATGAATACATAATTTGGAACAAACAGTAAATTTAGGATGAATACAAAAATTACTTATTTGTATAATGTAAACCCAAGTTACAGAATTGATCTCACAAATGCAAGTATAACCAATATATTTTTTGTAAACAAAGAGGTTACATTAATGGCTCTTAATTACAATAGCATAAAATTGTTCACATTCAGAAGCAATATAATTAGAATATCAATTGTCAGAAATAAACAAGTAGAATAATTGTATCATGCCTAGCAAGGAAAAGCTTTCGTATCAAGCCAGAGGCAGAAATTACAGCTCATGGGATGTATGCAGCCTGACTCTAAACCCCTTTTACAGCTCCCACAGATTTCCAGATCAATTTGTTTTTTTCATATGGGGCAAGATTTTGCCCTTAAAATGGCTACCAGCTCTGACTTGATCCACTTTCGAGGGAAGTTGCACATTTCTGGACTACATAAAAATTTACTAATCTTTTGCTATGTAAGTCACAATTTGTTTGGCACGAATCATATATTAAGGTAACCTGTGGCAACTACAGGTAAAACCCGAAAAATTAGTATATCGTGTGAAAGTTCATTTATTTCAGCAATGCAACTTAAAAGGTGAAACTAATATATGAGATAGACTCATTACATGCAAAGCAAGATAGTTCAAGCCACGATTTGTCATAATTGTGATGATTATGGCTTACAGCTCATGAAAACCCCAAATCCACAATCTCAGAAAATTAGAATATTGTGAAAAGGTGCAATATTCTAGGCTCAAAGTGTCCCACTCAGCTAATTAAGCCATAACAGCTGCAAAGTGTTCCTGAGCCTTTAAATGGTCTCTCAGCCTGGTTCAGTAGGAATCACAATCATGGGAAAGACTGCTGACCTGACAGTTGTGCAGAAAACAATATTGACACCCTCCATAAGGAGGAAAAGCCTCAAAAGGTAATTGCAAAAGAAGTTGGATGTTCCCAAAGTGCTGTATCAAAGCACATTAATAGAAAGTTATGTGGAAGGGAAAAGTGTGGAAGAAAAAGGTGCACAAGCAGCAGGGATGACCGCAGCCTGGAGAGGATTGTCAGGAAAAGGCCATTCAAAAGTGTTGGGGACTTTCACAAGGAGTGGACTGAGGCTGGAGTCAGTGCAACAAGAGCCACCACACAGACAGGTCCTGGACATGGGCTTCAAATGTCATATTTCTCTTGTCAAGTTGCTCCTGAACAATAAACATCAGAAGCGTTTTACCTGGGCTAAAGAAAAACAGACCTGGTCTGTTGCTCAGTGGTCCAAAGTCCTCTTTTCTGATGAAAGCAACTTTTGCATCTCATTTGAAAACCAAGGATCCAGAGTATAAAGGAAGAATGGAGAGGCACACACTGCAAGATGCTTGAAGTCCAGTGTGAAGTTTCCCTAGTCTGTGTTGATTTGGGGAGGCATGTCATCTGCTGGTGTTGGTCCACTGTGCTTCATTAAGTCCAGGATCAACACAGCCGTCTACCAGGAGATTTTGGAGCACTTCATGCTTCCTTCCATAGACGAGCTTTATGGGGATGCTGACTTCATTTTCCAGCAAGATGTGGCACTTACCCACACTGCCAAAAGCACCAAAACCTGGTTCAATGACCGTGGGATTACTGTGCTTGATTGGCCAGCAAACTCGCCTGACCTGAACCCCATAGTGAATCTATGGAGCATTGCCAAGAGAAAGATGAGAGACATGAGACCGAACAATGCAGAAGAGCTGAAGGCCGCTACTGAAGCATCCTGGTCTTCCATAACACCTCAGCAGTGCCACAGGCTGATCGCTTCCATGCCACACTGCATTAAGGCAGTAATTGCTGCAAAAGGGGCCCAAACCAAGTACTGAGTACATATGCATGCTTATACTTTTCAGAGGTCCGATATTGTTCTATATACAATCCTTGTTTTTTTGATTGCATGTAATATTCTAATTTTATGAGATTGTGGATTTGGGGTTTTCATGAGCTGTAAACCATAATCATCACAATTATGACACATCATGGCTTGAATTTTTTGCTTTGCATGTAATGAGCCTATCTCATATATTAGTTTCGCTTTTTAAGTTGCATTACTGAAATAAATGAACTTTTGCATGATATTCTAATTTTTCGAGTTTCACCTGTATATTAAGGCTCAACGTACAATAGTTCATTTAGTGACTGTTTGAAGTTACACCAGCACTGAAAAAAGCGACTTATGACCGTTTTTTTATACCTACGACTATTGCAACATCCCCATGTTAATCAGATTCACATGGTCAAAATTCAGATGCTTGGCAACTGACTCATATTTATGATGGTTGCAGTGTCCTGGGGTCATGTGATCACCTTTTGCAATCTTCTGACAAATTAACTCAATGAGGAAGCAAGGCTCACTTAGCAATCTTCTAATTTAATAACTGCAGTGATTCACTTAACAAAGGTGACAAGAAAGGTCATAAAATGGGGCAAAACTAACTTAACAAATGTCTCACTTACCAACAGAAATTTTGGGACCTATTGTGGCCATAAATTGAGGACTACTTGTATTCCTAAACCTGTGTTTTTAAAAATGATTAGCACAAACTTTCTCAGCAAGTATTACTTTGTGTGTGAATACTTGCATTTGAAAAGCATAAGCTAAGGAAAACATAACTGGGTCCTTTCGCTTTAAAAATCCCAGAAGACAATCATTTCCATTTTTTATTCCCCCTTCCCTATTTCCAGGTTCCTGTTGACACAATCAAATCAAATAGCCCTTTCCTTCCCACTTCCAACACGAACAGAACTCTCCAATTGTTCATAGCCATAAAGTGCACAATAAGGACAGAAGCCAATTACTTTTGTAGAGGGACAGATCTAATCTTAAAGAAAAAAGCATTCCTAAATAAAAAAGCAGGCATAATTTGTTCCATAAAATCCAAGCCAATGCAAATCACACATAACTGGGAAAGAATAAATATAACCAGAAAAACCTTTTGGCAAATATTAATGGTTGCGTGGTATGGAGAAATATTTATTTAAAAGATGCCTTTGGGTCTTTGATTTACTGAATGCTCATCAGTACAAGTTAAAACTGGTGAAGTGTGCCAGCCTTGCCCTTCCGTCTTTCCAAGAAATCAGATCTTCTTTTTCTCAAGTCTGATTCCTTAGCTGGTTGCTAAGTTCTTGCAATTCCATCATCAAATTCTCCATTGCTGCCATTTCTTCAACGAGGTCGCTGGAAACTTCATCACTTACAGCATCTGCAAAATTTTGCTACACAAGAAAGTTAAAAGCAATTTTTACGGGAAACTTTAGTCTCAGTAAAGCAAAAGATTTTTTTAAAAAATCTAACCACAATCGTTTCCATAACTTCTGTGATCTCATTTCTTTATGGCGTCTACACAAAATTACTCTCATTCCAAAAGCAGCATACTGATGTTCTTCTGTGGATAACAAGTGAGGAATATCTCCCTATGTAATGTCAACCTGTTAATTTTCAACCTGCAAGCCAAATGAAGCAGATTCTAACTTTCAAAATTCAAAAATTCCATTAAAAAAAGGAAAAAAGAACAGAAATCCATTGCAAGGCACAGTACGAGCAGCTTTCAAAACAGATTCTTGAGAAACTTTAGTTCTAAGCCTTGGGCAAGAAAATCTTCTTGATGCACTTGGGATAACATTCAGGATTTTTATTGCCTAGCAATCTGTTTCATAAAGAAAATGCAAAACTTTTTTCCAAGTTTAAGGTCTCACATAGCTTTGAAGTGCATATCATGGGCTTTGCAATACAATTGCAAATACAATAGCAAGGCCAGGGCAAACATTAACATTCAAAATTAAATTACATTTACTCTCTATAATTAATAAGATTTGTTCTACAGCAAATTAATAATTAGTTCATGCCTACTATCAATTACATCTTGCTGACAACTTTAGAAGAATTCTGAGGACCATACCAAAGGCACTGGAGGTAAGACATATAGTCCTGAGTCTACACATTTTTATAAAGTCTTTGTGTAGGTAATCACTGTTTTTATCAGGATCTGAACATTGACAAGAATGAAAGACAACATATTTTAATTGAATTGGACATCAAAAGACCCATAATGGAAATGCTGGAGAAAAAGTAAACCGTTTCAATGGTAGAGAAATATCATATCCACTTGGGATTGAAGTGAGAATCAGAGATTCTCTTGGATGAGTAGATAAAAAGGAACATGGGCAACAGGCAAGAGCAGAAACTATGACAAGCTTCAGAGATGTCATTTCTCTTCTGTTGTGTAACTTTACATTGCAGGTCACTTGCATCTGCTGCTGATAAAATTTGAAAGGAAGGCAAGTATGGATGGGTTGAATGTACTATGAGATGCCCAATGAACAAATACAAGGACGCTGCACTCATGATTTTTTTCTCATGGAAGACCACAGTAACAGATATGCTCCTAAGGGAGCAGTACCAGAGGCTCTTCCAACTCCTGATCCCACCTCTTCTCTTTACAACTGTCAAATACTGCATTCCTACTCTACTGTATCACTGGAAGAAAACGTCATAATGCAGATGTCATTCAAAACTGGTTTCTTAAGAAGCAACCTGTTCTTTAAAGATGTACAATAGAAAGGCATTTATAGCTATTGAGTCCAATACAATTCTCACAACTAATTCCATATTATTAATAGGGATACCTTTCCACCCATAAAGAAGAGGTAATACAATTCCTCTCTCCTCCTAATGCCTTCCAGATGTGCTGTAATTCAGCTCCAATTTCCTAGCCATCTAGCCAATCTTTGGCCATCTGATAAGAAATCTTGGGATTCATACTCTTAAAGTATCTGGGGTGCAAGAGGTTGAGGAAAGTTGAATTAACAAAACCAATAGCTCCTGAAAACATCAGCTGTAGCTCATGGATCTCTCTCTCTGTTCCAGACCACCTTTTAATGACGTCCATCAGTCTTACCTTTGCTTTGGCGACTAAACCACGCAAATTGAGTCGGGCAGAAGAGAGTATTGGCAAGGCTTCTTGGTAATTAGTTTTCAGTTTGCTGCATTTCATTGCGACTGGAGTTTTAAAAGGCAAAACAAAGTTGGATGAGTACCACAATAATAGCATGGTTGTTATAAATGACTACTTAGTTCTCAGTTTTAACGTGGATCTGGGGAGAAAAAGCTTCCTAATTCATTAAATGAATAAACATTATACATAAGGCAATAGTCTGCAACTATTATTACAAAAGGAATTACTGCCACTACAGCAATAATTTTGTTGCCTTCAAAATATGTTGACTTTACATGTACTCCAGAACTATCACTGGAATGTAGAACTTTGTAATGTCATTTGAAGTTGCAGCCTAAGTTTCTGATTTGCAAGAATTATTTTTTTATATATCTTATTTAATAATGCATACAAGTAGAATGCTTGCAATGAAACCTTTCAATGGTCCTATTCAGAATTCTAGCTCGCCCTGTCTTCTTCTGTGATCTATCAACCAACATTGATTGTTCTCGAAATGTGTTTCCAGTCTTTTAACAAAATGTGCCAACTATCATGCCAGTTAACACTGTTAATGTTGTTTGTAAATGATGCTATTTTGGCTACCTAAGTGTCAGGGTCACAATATTGGAATCCATAAGCAAATGTTGCTGTGTGGAATACTCCATGATATTCTTCCAGTCAGCCATGTCCTCTTTCACAATACTTCATTGTCCTTCTCACCCCATGTTGGTTTTTATTCTTATCTAGTTAAACTTATAATCAAATGTCAAATGTGTTTAAGACCTGAGATTGTTGATATCTAGCTCTGCTATGGTGTAAAACTAATCTCTCTTCCTTTCCTTTCCCTTCCTCCATCCATCCACTGCAGCTCAATAGAGCTTGGAAGTGCACATTTCCGTGCTCTCTTTTAGATGGTGTTTGGGATTTTTAATTGTTTGCTTTTTTCACACACCCATGCAAATGCAGAATGTAAAATAAGATGGAAGCAATGTGCTTTCTTTTATTTTCAATTTAATAGGGTTAAATACATTTTTATTATTGTAGGACCTCTGGCATCTTTAACCAAGAAAGAGATTATTTCATTTTGTTCTCAATATTTTGAAGTTAGAAAGGCTGAAGGTGATGGCACTCAATTCTAATTAGCATTGACTATCCAATTTTTTATGATTGCTCTATAACTTCTACCATTTCATTCACTGTAGGATAGCCCAATGTTTTGTGTTTCTGCATTCTTAATTCACATCAATGACTTCCGATGGTTAGAAGTGTCATCAGAGGCAACTGTAATCATGATGTCCACTTATCTGCTTTATCAGGACTCATGACTATTGTGTTACATCATGACATTATGTTTTATATAAAATCTTATCAATGGGAAGAGAAAACCAAATGCAATGCCATCATTTTCAGAATCAGATGGACATTTAAACTTCTAGCTTGTGCCCTAGAAACATGAGAATCTTCTAAGTTCATTGTCATTTCCCTCTTTTTAAAAAATGAGATTTGGAACTGAAGTTGAAACATATACATATCAAAATCTCTATGCTGTGTTGTTAATATCCCAACATTTAACTCTGTGGTCATGCTAGAGTTCAGTGTCTAAAACCTCAGCAAACTCTAGAAACTGTGAAGGGCCTAAGTAAAGAAAATGAAAAAAGGTACAAAAATAAAGATAAAGATTCAATGTCTTGATTTAGCATGCTAGAATAAAAATATATTTTATCCACCACCACTCCTGGCTCTCCACTATATCTTCTGTTCCTAATAACAAGAAAAGATGCAGGACTGTGCTGCTTTCTCAACTTTTTGAACCCTGGAGTCAACTTTTAAATTTCAACCTTTTCATTATTGCTTACTTTCTGAAGTGGTAGAAGAAAAGCAGGTAAATCTGCCCTTGATTCAAGCACAACGTATGATGACTACATAGAGAAAATAATATGGTTTTTATGACAATATTACAAAAGGTTTAGCATATCTGCTAAGCTTCCAATCACTGACATGGCTGGAGAATTTTTTTTTTAACTTCAGACAGTTGCTACGTCTCACTTCCCCTTCCCTTAACTATTTCCCTGGAAATTATATTCAGGTGTATGGTCTGCTATATCCACTGCTTATTCTTTCGATAAAAAGTACTTCAGAAATAGGTAATCAGCCGTGATTTATGTTAACATTTTCATATAGGACATACCGTGTGCAAGTTCTAGGGCATCTCTGGCTACTTTCTTAAAAGAGGAAGCATCTTTGTCCCAGTCTCCTGATTGGATTTCACATTTGTATGCTTTGGTGAGATACTGCAATGCCTGCAATGATAGAGGTATTGTGAACTTAAAAATAAAATTGCTTTACTTTTATGCGTTCATGCAAATTCCTCTATTAAGCATACTGACTGATAATACTTTACTGGCACTTCAGCTTTAAAGCAGTCTCTTTCTTTGCAGCTGTAACACAGATGTTTTAGTTGTTTTTTTCCTCTCAAGTATGATAGACATATAAGTAGCATATGGTTAAGAGACAATTTTTAAGTTAAAAAAAACTGTCTAGACAGACACATGTGACCCATATATTGCTGGGTCATCGTATTTAAATGTATCTGAAAGTTAAAAAAAAGCACTTGTATTTTCATAATTAGAGCCATTGTGTCTCTAAATAAGGTGCCAATTTTATTCTGAATTAATTTTGCAATTTGGAAAGAGCAATTTGGGCTCTAAGGATAAGTAGAAATTTAAAGAAAAGTCTAAAATGAAGAAGAAACACAAATGAGGAAAGTCGCCTTTGGCAAGATGGACAGCATATAAGTTAAAATAATAAAATAATAAATAAAGGAACAGCAATAAAGTAAGTATAGCTAAAACATGCTAAAAAAAATTCAAGTCCTTCTCGATAATGCATTTTTTCAATTTTGGCAATCTATTATACACAACAGAATTGGGTATTTGATGCCATTGCTGGCTTATGTTAATTTTCTCATAATTAATTGAACGGCATGCTCTTCTAATTACGCTGCTTCACAAATTGAAAAAAATATGCTTACAGCAAAAGGTTATATCGATTGAGGGGATTAACTTAGAAAGGAAGTGGGCAAAACACATATATATTACACAAGATGCAGAAAGTGTGAGCAGGGATAATTTTATCTTACTCTCAATATTAGACCTCCTACTCAGTCATCTAAGTTAAATATGAGGAATTTCAGTACCAATAAAAGGAACCTGATTTTTATACCCGGCGCTGAGGTGGTGTTAACTGATGACACAGATAGCGATCACTATTAATTTAATTATGAAAAAAGGGGTGGACTAGGGCACTAATAACCTTGGAAAAAGGCTCTCATCTGTTCATAACTAAAAACATGACAGCAATATGAATATTTATTTATTTATTTATTTATTTATTTATTTATTTATTTATTTATTTATTTATTTATTTATTTATTTATTAGACTTATATACCGCTTCATAGGGCTTTCAGCCCTCTCAATTTTTTAGCAAATTGAGTCAGCAACTTGCCCCCACAGTCCGGGCCCTCATTTCACCCACCTCAGAAGGATGGAAGGCTGAGTCGACCTTGAGCCGGTGAGATTTGAACCGCTGAACTGCAGATCACAGTCAGCTAAAGTGGCCTGCAGTACTGCACCCTAACCACTTGGCTCTTATGAGGGAAATTGACCTGGTTGTGCACATTAGACATTAAACTATGAACTGGTAAGTAATTTTTGTGCTATGTTATCTGGTTTGTACACTTTAAAGCATGGGTGTCAAACTCAATTGCATCATGTGACATATTGTTGCCTTTGCTGAGTGTGGCCTGCACATGACGTATCCAGCCTGTGGGCCACCAGTTTCACACCTGGGCTTTAAAATATAAAGTTAAGTTCTTCTTGACTCCTGCTCATAGGAACATTTAAAAATTCCTGTGACTCCCCAGAAAATTCCTGAGAAGGAATTTTCCACTGTGAAATGACATGTTCTTCACACTGGGAGTTAAGAATACCAACTTGTTCCATTTTAGCCTGGCAGTTCCCATCTGGAATGTGACTGCTGACATACCCAAATGAGTCTCTTATTTTATTTCTTTAGCCTTAAATATGAACAGAAATCTATGGCTTGCATCTTTCCTTACTAGCAGTTTCTAAACCAAGATGAAGTCACAACATATGGCTTTGACTTGTTAAGAAAGAAAGAAATCAAGAGTTCCCACTTCACGCATACTGCTAAAGATACCATGTTTGGAACATGTCAGCTGTATCTTCTGGCAGGAAGAGCCAAGTGGCAGCAACTGGGCAATGTGCACAAACAGCTTATTCAATTGCACATTGTGATAACTTAATGTAGCCTATGAATTCCATTTCCTGATGCTCTACATGCCATCAATATTTGAGAGATGGAGACGGTGGCAGTCAGGATACAGGCATTGGAAAAGCAAATAGTGACACAATCTTGCATCAAAGAAAAACAGAACAAAATCAAACAAAACAAGAACTTACAGTATTATGATGTAAGCCACACAGCCATTTCACACTTTCAATTGACACATTTTGATGCTCAACTAAATGCAGAAACAGTCTGAGTGGCAAAAATAAACCAACCCTTCCTTAACAAAAATAGCTTGGTTCCAGATGCTTCCCTGACTTAAGAAACATAAAATGACATATGACTTTGACTCTTGGGAAATGGTTCCCTGAAATGGAATTTGCAAATCACCACGGAGGATGTCATTTGGGGGAGGATTAGGCAAGCTGGCATGGATCTCTACGAGGAACAGCCGCATGGCGTGATACAGACGAGAAGAAAGCATTATGTTACCAACATGAAGCTTGCTGACAGAAGATTTGAATTTAGGTAAAATATTCAGGATGTGTATCAACAAACAACCATCACAGCTCATTATTTTGGTGACACAGAAGGGTTCCTCCTCCCCTTCTTATTGCATAATATCTTTATGAGCAATTCAGAAATTTTTGCAATTGGATCTAGGGAACGATCCATGGAATCTTTGATATCTCATTGCGACATGTTAGCAAGTCACTCAGATCCTCTCTGAAAATAACAGTGATAGCAGAGATCTCCAGAACAATGTCTGCTCCTGCTGCTTATTACATGTTTTCAGTCATTGGTGCCTGAAGATATGGTCAAGGGGGTTTCTGAAGGACCACTTATCTCTTCCTGTCTTTCCTCTTGTGCCTTATATTACCAAGGGAATGAGAAACTGATTTTAGAAAGCTATAAATGTCTCTCGGAAAGAATGGAAATAGTCCAGAGAATGTATCTATTACAAAATATAGCTGCATGATTATTAATGGATATGAAAAATGAGATCAGATTATGGCAGTGAAATTATTCCCTTTCTGGGTTCAATTCAAAGTAATGGTTTCATCCTTAGAACAGTTTGCAGTTTGGGACCAAGTTACCTGCAAAATCAATCCATCCCCACAGATCTACTGAAACCTTAAGAATCTCCGCTGAGATCTTCGTCCAGGCCATCTCATAAATATATAAGGTGGTTAAGCTGTTCACATTCTGTCACACTTTTTAAAATTATGACTTTAAGGCTGTGAATTTAATCTACTTTTTAAAATCTGCCATTTTAAAAAAAGTGATATGTAATGAGGGGAGGGGAGAAATTTGCAGCCCTCAAACACTTCTTTGTGGTCACCATGGCTGAAAATTGATAGAATTATATCTCATTATGTTAATGAAGGAAACAAGAAAACTACAGCAAAGGATCTGTAATAGATCCTTGTCCTGCCCACTGTGGCTCTCATGATCTTAAAAAATGTTAAGTATGCTCCTGATTATCATATGCTGTTCAAGCTCACTTTATAATTTAGTTATTACCGGTATGTTTTCCTTAATGCTGCATGCTGCAATGTATTGCTTTTATTGTTTATTTTATTTTGATGGATTCTATTGCCCATCAGTCCTATACAGCCAAACAAAAGAAGAATGATACTTCATTATCTGTTGGTACAAGTATTTCAACTCTCTGTTCTATTCGAATGGGATCAGATAACTTAAGCATTGTTTCTCAACCTTGGCACTTTAAGTGGTATGGACTTCAACTCCCAGAATTCCTCAGCCAGCGCAGCACAATTCTGGGAGTTGACGTCCATACTGCTTAAAAAGTTGAGAAAGAAGTTAAGTTCCACAATATTTTGAATGCTGCAAACATCACTTTACATTCAGTTTAATGCTTCCTTTATATCAAAACCGAGAGGGAGTAACACCTCCCTCCACAAGACTTAAGGAGAAATTTGAATGTGTCCTGCCAATTCGGATAGTGGGCAGAGTCTATTAGAACTCAGGAAAATCAGATGTTCAAGGCTCAACTCCCCTTCTCAGGTGGTCTTTGAAAGAGAGAAGAGGGAAGTTCAGATTTGGCTTTTGATATTTTGTCTTTCGTTCCAAGAATAAAGAGGCTCTCTTCTCAGTCTAATTTCTGCCAAATAAGAAAAGCAGCCCAACCCAGAGGAAAGTTGGAAAATCATCAGAAAATAATTACCTAGGAAAATGTGGAGCTAATTCAGATTATTATAATTTTCTGTATGTTACAGATTGATCTGAGCTGTTTCTCTGCATCCTTATCCCTATATGAATTTTGTGCATGTACGGATGTGTATTTCTGTCAGGAAGATTAGCCATTCTGTAAGATTAATGATAATTTGTCACTTTTCTCCATTGCCTTTAACACTTATTTAGTTCCTTAGCCTTAATACTGTACAGGTAATAAAAAAAAAAAAACTCTGACTTTACTCAATTAACCCATTCATTTTTAAAGGTTGTTAACTTTAGAATTGTCCTGTCAAATTAAGTTCCTGAGAAAAAGAAGTGGGGATATTTTCTCTGTAATTCAAACCAAACCAAAGGGGACTTGAACTTGTATAAAGTAGATAATGGAAACAAACCAAAATGGCTCTCCCAAGGGATAAGGAGACTGTATGAGAAGTATAGATCTAGGGATCCCTTCATGGACTCAATCAGGAGCATATTTCACTATATTTCTAGGCACACATGCACTTGCAAAGAGACCACACCATCACATAGTATATTACTATGTAGTGGGCAGAAGAGTTTTGATGATCTCATAGCACAGGTTAGTTATCCAGATTCTTCATATAAAATGTCCTATTGGATATATCTTGATCTGACTGTAAGCGAAGCATTCACAGTATAGCATTCTTAACCAAAAGAGTTGAGGTAGTCCTTGACTTACAACAGTTCATTTAGTGAACATTCAAAGTTACAGCACTGAAAAAAGTGATTTATGGTCATTTTTCACACTTATGACTATTGCAGCATCCCTA